TTACAACAAAAACAAGACAAGAGTTCAAAAGTAGAAAACAAATTGTAGGTGACATTTTGGGAATAGTCCTTGTTCACCCCACGGACCCCCCCCCCCCTGGCCCCCTCCTTTTTGCTAATTTAAGACATATCATACACATGAATTTCTCTGGAAGTCGAGTAAAACATAGTACCGTAATACATCAGGTCATTGTACTTTTATTCATAGGCCTTGTAATTTTTTTATTTTTTTTTGTAACTCAAGAATGAAAGCTTGGTTGAATTAAGGCTACTGTTTTATACTTTTACATGTAGGCTTTAAATAATGTCACATTCTAAAGAAACTTAAACCGGGACTCATCATATTTCACATACATTAAAAATTACAAAGCTTGGTAAAGGTATGAATAATCGAGTTGTTAACTGATGCAATCGTATACAGCCACGTCTTTGAATCCAATGGAAAAATCTTCTACTCACATTTTGACCTTGTTGGATTTGGTGTTGTAGGTATGCCTACGGCGGAAACAAAGTCGTTGCACCATCTTGTTGCTGTAAAGAAGAGAAAAAATAGAAGAAAGTTTAGAACAATTATTATAACTAAATCGATGGACAATATGACATTACATACCACAAGGAAGGCATGCCCTGGCCAACTACTGATGTTGACATGATAGGTTTTTAAACACAATATTTTCTATCTTGAAAGGTAGGATCGGTCAATGGAAAAGGGTGGGAGTTAAATTCTTTATTAAAAAAAAATATATATTTTTCGTTCCAAAAATATATGAACTTATAGTTACAGACAAGGGTCTGGAAATCTTTATTTGAGAGCAAAATCATAAGTAAAAGTGGTAAACAACTGATTGTATGATATTTCGGCAATTTCGCCTTGCAGAATATGCAATAATTTAATATTTAATGGATCCATTTTGGGGGATAAATTAGCTGTAAACTCCTGTGCGCACAGGGCGAACTAAGGACAAGGTCCCGTTTTTTTTAATGACTTTTTAGTCAGTTGCACGCTTGCAGCACATGCCGATCTGAATTATGAGATCTCGATATCTCAAGACTTTTTTCACAATAAATTTTCTAGACCTATTTGGATTAAAGAACTTTGCAGTCCATTTGATAATAATTTGATTAGTGTCGCTCTACATGTAAATGAATTTGTGTAGAAATAGAATACGAGAAATCATGGACACATGGATCGAATGTCAACTTCCTAATATTTGTAAAATATTCGCAAGCTTTGGTCACCCCGTCATAATCATAAGGCCCCAACCAAGACCACAACATCGGTCACCAGCTACAACAAAAAAACTAACACATTTCCCAAGTCAATGCCCGGCAAAATAAATGGCACAGCCAAACTGAAGTCCAAAGGCAAGACCCCAACAACCAGGAATAAGGATCGTCCGCATAGATCTAAACGATTGTCCGCATATACGATCATCCGCATATTCAGGAAGGATTCCGCGTTGGCAATGCGAAAAACGATTCCGCAATGATTTTCTTGATGCATTTCACATTGACCATGTTGACTTTGAACAGAGACTTTCATTTCATGTTTTGAGCGATAAATCCTCGGGGAAGACGGACAACCTGAACCTAGGCTAGGCCGTAGGCGGGCCTTCCAAAAGTAGATGGTGAACTGGTGGAATTTTATTACGCGAATCAGACTTTCAATTGCCAGCGCGGATTGGGAACCCTTCACCTGCAGAGCGCTGAGGAAAAAAAAAGGTGATTTGTCCGCATTTACGTGAACAATCCTTATTCTCAGACCAGCGCCCCTACCGACAACATTGCAACAGCCAACACATTCTCTCCGCTCCACGGGCACAGCACTTCTTCTACCATCTCCAAATCAAGATCTAGAATCTAGACTAGATCTACATGCAAGTGTAAATGCTTGGTCTTGGTGAATAAACATCAACTTCGAGATTTATCCCCAGTTTTATTTTTGCCATAAAATTGCACTCAATGCATTCATAAATGCACCACAACATGCATGTCAATGGGAGCGTATTCAAATTCAATTTAAAAACAGACGTGACGAGACGTCGAGAGGCCAGTTTATTCAGTACCAGGATTTCATTTCCAATGTCCATTTTGAATTAGTTAAAAGGGCATATAGACCCTAATTTAAACTTATGTATGATTTCATAATTTAAAATCGAATCATGTTTATCGTACGTTGCCCCAGCACTAAAATTAGTGGATCTAGTCTACCCGAGAATCAAGATCTTTCATTTTAGATTATCGAGCGTTCGCGTTCGCCTACATACGCACGGATTACCCGACGTTTACCGACATAAATTGGACCATTTCTTATTTCTTTGAGATCAAAAAACAAAATGTAATGAACGATATGAATCCTTAGGTATACAAAAACAATTATATCATATTAGTTTCGTATATAACATCACATATTCCTGGATACTAGTGGATTTTTCTAACCTTTTTCTCAGGTTTCCACTGAGAAGATTTCACAACTGTCTGAAAAGGTCGTAGAGGGCTCATTCTTTTTGCAATATAAATGACCTACGTATGTTTTGTGTACGTACTGCATGCTGTATAGTACTGTACTATATACACTGTGAATAAAGCAGAACTATATATATTATTTCAAAAATAAAAGATTTTAGTCTTAAATGAAACACGGAATGAATTGGTTATTTGTATCCTTCATGCAATAGTATTTGTCAAAAATTGTCTTTGTTCCATAAATATCAAGCTATTAAATTGGCAACGTAAAATATGCTACTTGAAGGTACACGTCTTGCCTATGGGAGTGGTCTATATTATGTACTTTGTTGAGGGGGGGGGGGGGGGGGGGGGGGGGGGTGTGAGGGCGGGGGGGGGGTAGGGCCGGTGAGGCAGACATGTGTAGACAATGAATCCAAGAACCCTAAAGCACTCCCAAAGGCCCCCATACAAAAATGGAAACGAATGCAATCACATAATGCAAAGCTAAAATGGTACGATTAACCTTTCTCAAAAGCGTTTCTATGACATACTATAATTTTTAAGCTGATTTATTTCAAAATCACATTTGAATTGGAATAGTCTAACATTATATTATACCAGATGGATATCTTCCCTCCCAGGGCAAATGTTTAGATAAGCTAACTGGGCATTTTGTTCAATTTCTAAAATCTTGTTTCTTCATCTTTTATATTTCTTTTCTAATTTTCTTCTTTAATTTTGTAAAAAACAGGACGAGAAGAGCATCAATGAGGGTGTACATGAAAGTAAAACCATCCTAAAGTAAATCATGGATCCCTAGAACTAGGGGTGGCGGAGCTACTTCTAAAGTGGGGGGGGGGGCACCAACAAAAAGGGCACTTCCTGGAAAAAAAGGGCACCTACAAAGGGAAATTTCGAAGCGAAGCGAATATTTGCATTGCATAATTATTCGCTTCGAGATTTTTTAGACATTGGTTTATACCCCTACATTGTGATTACTTATTATCTGGGATGCTTGCAATATTTGTTACAAAGTATCTTACAAAGTACATGCAGTTGGGTGTGATGGTCTGAATATTCATTTGCGAGCCAGGAAAATTTTAAAGATTTTTGAGGTCACAGTGCGAAAAATTGCATCTTATAACAAAGAAAAAAAAACCCAATCCTGATGGGGTTATAAGCACATACTCAATAAGTAACATAATTATATAAATACATGTGATATAGCGAGTGAGCTTTGGGCGAAATTGCTCCTAGTCACTTTAAATTAGGAGCACATTTATTGATGAGAGGAAAAGGGGACACTAAGCTTATCGAAAGGGTTAAGACACCTCTCAGAAATAAGAAAAGGAGCAGGCGTCAGGTACAAACGGTAATTATTTATCAGAGGTGAAAATGGGGCACTTCCTATACCTGAAAAAAGGCACTCACCAGGGATGAAAAAAGGCACTTAGTATGAGAATGATAAATGGGCATTCGTCGACGGAAATGGGGAACCCATCAGATTTGATAGGGGCATTCATAAGAATTTAAAAGGGGAATTTATGAAGAACGGAAATTGTCAGAGGTGAAAAGGGGCACTTATCGTACCTGAAAAGGGGCATTGACCAGATATGAAATGGAGTATATACTTATGAGAATGAAAAGGGACACTTTTCATAGCCGGAAATAAGGGCATTCATGAAAAGGGGAAAGAGCTCTTTTTTAATGTGGGGGAACCTATCATAAGAAAAGAGGCACTTCTGAGAAAGGAAAAGGGGCACATGTAAAAATAAAAGGTGCACTTATCGTAATTTAAAAAGGGGTATAGTTATTAAAAAAGGAGGGGGTATCATAAGGGGCACCTCTCAAATATGTATAAGGTATTTTTCAGAGGTGAAAGGGGCACTTATCAAAATTGAAAAGGGGCATTTCTCGTACTAAAAAGAGGCACTTACATAGGTGAAAAGTGATGGGGTACGTTCCAAAATAAAATGGGCACTTTCCTATGTAAAAAGGGCAATTTTGGGGTACTTGAAAATAACATAAAGATCTACAAGGTAGGCCACGGTATACCGGCCTTCTCCTTTTTTTTGGGGGGGGGGGGCTGCGATATCGGCGCCAAATTATTAGGTCATTCAATATAGCTCCATCATGATTTACAATGGAGATCGTATAATAAAATAGCTATCTGCCAAATCTGGCAATGCAACAGCTCTATTTTACTTAATTTGTGTAATATACCTATATAATTACACCGCAGTATAATATAATATTAACATATATAAAGAAATCATAAAAGGCATTATCTTTCTATTAGCTACCACTTTGGTTTAGACTCTAGCACCATTTGTCTACACTATTTTGTAAGAAGCAATGTTTCTACCCAACTTATTGCTTGTTTTTCTTAAGTTTCTCAAACAGATATTTAAGAAAAGTGTTTCTCTCTTATATAGCTCAAGCTCGGCAGGTTACAGGTTGGGCTTGATTGTGAGCAGTCGACGCAAAAAAAAAAATGAAAATAGTGATTTCTTCGCCTAGATTGGCAATGGATGCGCCACTAAAACTCTAGGAAAAACTTTGGCTAGTCTCAGCTCAGCTACGTCCCACAAAATGGCAGCCGCCATGGAGGAATTCGAACATCAATTTGCTGCAGTTTCTGCAGAAATTACATCAAAAATCAACAAAATTCCAATTCTCAGTGGAAGTAAGAAGTGATTTACATTATTTAATTTTATTTTAGGACTAAGATGTTAGTTTTTGAGACTGTAAATAACGCCCATCTGTTGGCTACGTGGTCTGCTTGATAAATTTAATTGATTGACTGTGTGTCTGTGTACATGTGTGTATTTATATTACTAGTTACTACGCTTCGCCTTCGCCGCGCCACCCCCGCTGGCTTCTGGCGCGTTGGACCTTGGGCTCGGCGCGGGGCAAGAGATGGATGATGTTGTCACCTGGTCACAGATGAAAGTAACTATCAGTGCATGGCCCTCGCGTACACAGATAACGTTCCTGATGGGCCCGACCTAGCGCCACGCGTTCTTAAAAAAAAAAAAAAAAAAAAAAAAAAAAAAAAAAAAAATCAATTTTTTTTTTGTTTTTTGTTTTTTTGTTGAAAAATCAGAAAATTCCGGATTTTCTGGTCATAGAAATCTCCAAATAACAGAATATTCTGAATTATTCGTAAGGGTTGGTAGGTATGGTATTAAAAATTCATCAAATTACTTGTAATACTTGTAAAAAATAAATTTAGATCTAGTCTAGAGGGTCTAAATTAAAAAAAAAAAAAAAAAAAAATCATTTTTTTTTTTTTTTTTTTTTTTTTTTGGGGGGGGGGGTCAAATTTTCCCTCGGGTCGCGCCACGCGTTTTTAATTTCTTGGCGAGAGGCCTGTATCAGTGATCAAAGAAAAAAAACGAGGAAAGATCAAGTGAGGTCTGAATTTACAAACTAAACATGATGATGTATATTTTTACTCAACAGAAGAATGAACAGTTTTCAAAGTTGATAACTTGATGATTAATTAATTATCATGATCATGATTAGACCGAAAGCTTCAGTCTCTCTAATCGTCGGTTGTTCCACTGAGACTACGTCTGGCTCCACTAGACCTCCGATTACAGAGACTGAAGTCTGGGGACCTCTTTCTGTGAGGCACTGTACGGAACAAATGGTTCGGTTCGACCGGACCGCGATGAATGAGATATGCAACGAGATTTTCACTCTTTACATCCTCATAACTGCTGCAATTATAACACAAATTAAAAATAACATATATATAGCTTATTTGACTTACGATAGCTTGCTCATTTAGATCCTAAATTAATGATTAATCCGAGAAAGTCTCGTCGTCAACATTATCCGTCTTGGTGTTAGTTGATGAATATTCATTTTTTCTTTTCGAACGTCCAATAGCTACCGTAGCTACGTACGAGTAAGCCCAGCTTGACCAACGAACTCCCACAAAACGAGTGCTCTGATTGGCCATTTGGCTATGTTTTGGTAGGTTGACCCGGAAATATTTTGGCCGCCGGGTCATATAGCCCTATGTTCCGAGTGCATGAACGTTCGGAGATACAAATTGGATAATTCATATAAGTAAGTCCGTAAATTATCAATTTAATATTGAGTTATCAAATTTTGATAACTGTAATTAGGACAAATGACATACCGACCTAATTTACATCTGATTTAGAAATCAGGAAATTAGATCTAAATAAAGAAAATCGGGGAGAAAATGTCGTGGACGAAAGTATGCACATATAGGCCTATACCATCCCCACGGTACGAGATCTCTGGGTTGCCATCTGTATTGGGGAATGACAACAAATGTCAGTTTTATTAAAGAAATGACCCAAATCAGATGGTTATTGCTGTCTAGATCATGATGATGTATTATTATTCAGATAATCAGATGATCTTTGTTGAACTTGTGACTTGTGTTGTACTTGTATTTGAACCTGTACTATCTGTATAGGTTGTTGTAGATCTTGCTTTGACATGAAAAATAAGCTTTTATTTAACTTTTGTATATTATTTTTGTTTTCATCTTTGACAGATGACAAGAAACAATTGGCAAGTTCAGCTGAAAAGCAGGTTGATGAGGCTCACGAATTGGTAAGTTTTAGCTCTTTATTTGCATTAACCTTTTAAATGGTATTTGCTTAATAACTTGAATTACTTATATCCAGTGTATCATTCTCGTGTGATAAAGAGTGAACAGTGTTTTTATATTCATGTTCTAAGTTGAGGCCGCCATCCTACATGTAGTCAAGCTTTGGTTATGATTGCGGTCTCCTGCACTTTTTCAACTGACAGTTTGGATAATACTTTAAATCTATAATAATATGTTATAGAAATATTAAGTTTCATATTACATGTACATATGTGTAAAAAAAACATTTTGACATGAAGTTATTATTGTTTGTATATTTTGTATTATACCTTACGTTTATATGTTCTTTGTTATTTTGTTATTATGTTTGGAAAAATGCAGAAATAAAATCATATAAAAAAATATGTCTAATCTTGTATTATTTTTGTGTCGTTTTAGCTGGAGCAGATGAACATTGAAATTCGCAACATTCCGTCCGCAGAACGCCAAAAGTTCACCACCAGGTTAAAAAGCTACCAGACTGAGCTGAATCGGCTAGAAAAAGATCTTGTAAGATAAAAGATATTCTCAGAAACTACTGCAGTCTACTTGATTACAATTCTTTATGCAATTGTCTTCCACATAATTTCTCTAGCATGAACAAATCATAACTTATCATGAAGCGTGATATCACTACATTAATATTCCCATTTGTCACCCACTCTTTATATAATTGTCACAGGAATCAACTAACATATTTCCTTGATGCACTGACAATGGTTTACATGAATATACCATGAAATTGTTTTCAATTCATTTTGTTAATAACAAATGTTTTAGAAGATTTTGCAGATTAAACATGGGCCTCATAATTTATTTATCAAGATTTATTTTACTGGGATAATGTGTGAATTATTGAAGCCCCTCTGAAGTGTTGGAGCCCCAAAAATTTGACATCAACATTTTACTCATAATGAGAAAGAAGATGTCATTTATGACTCATTTTTGCAAGTATTTCCAGAACAAATGTGTTTGAGGTCGACTATCGACGAAAGAATACATAATGTAAATTTTCTGCATACAGCAGAAAATCCAAATCATGTATTCTTTTATCAATATATGTCTTCAAACACATTTTTGGGGGGAAATTTTTGCAGAAGTGTGTCTTAAATGACATCCTCTTTCACATTATACAATTTAAGTGAAATTTTGCCATCAAATATTTGGCGAATATGAGGCCCCCAACACTTTATAGCGGCAATAAACAAATTTTAAAAATGAAATTTTTTCTTCCGAGTATGTTGTTGAAATTTGTTTGTAACCTTAGTGGGACCATAAGGGTTGATTATGATTTAATCTTTTTACTGATTGTACAATTTTTCTATTATTTTACAGAGACGATCCAAGGTTTCATCAAGAGATGATGGAGCAAGGGAAGAACTGCTTGGTCTGGATGATTATCGCAATTCAGAAGATCAGGTTAGGAACTGGTAGAAAACATAACTTTGAGTCATCATTTTAGGTATCCACCTCCATAGGAAGTTTTGGATGATGAATTTTGAATTTTCCACAGTCCTCTATTGAGGGAAAATAAAGGAAGAAAGGGGATAAGAAAAAATACTCTACACATCAATTTTAAGAGGGGCTAGGAAATGGGTGGGTTGGCAGGATTTCTTTATTCTTGTTCCCTGGAAATACATCTCTCGCCCACCTCTAATAATCCTGAATCTTTCCATAGAACTGCTATGGCTCATAAATACTTAAGATTTAGTGGATAATTGGAAAGAATGCTGAAGTTGTCATTTCAAAAGTTGCTGATTTATAAATATCATTTTGATGAGTTTGCATTTCCTGAAACACAAACACTTATTTAGGTAATAAGCGAGTTCGTAATTAGGATTTGCGCATGAGCAGATAAAGGTAATTCATTCCCAAGTTGTAAAACCATTGGGACGAATACTGGTATCATGCTCATGAAAGTAATGTAATCAGTATTCATTTATGCACCGACAGTACATTTATCTGATACACAGGTGGAAGTATTCTTCTCAAGAGGCAAACAAAAGGTATTCATGAAGCTCCTCCATCACTTTGTTAGTAATTATTCTAAAATGCACAAGTGGGAAGAATCCAGCTTGTTAAAGATCTGTGGATATTTTGGGGCTGTGCATTCCAAAGCTATTTACGAACTGGCTTATTGATTCCTGACATGTGCTGGTGAAAATTTGCAGCCAAAGTCATGAATACCAATCATCTTAATCGATTCACTTTCCAGAAAACAAGACTACTAGACAACACAGAGAGACTAGACCGGACATCAAGAAAATTAGATGCTGGCTACAGAATGACAATAGAGACGGGTAAGATGATGGAGTTTGGTGTAATTCTCGCTACCCCATACAGTGATATACGTTCCCATAATGCATTGCCCCTCTGGTAACTCTGCGATTTTTCAGACACACTTACTTCCGATAATTCTAAAACATGTATTCTGCTACACTACAAAATGCTAATAATTCATTATCTGCAATTCTTAATCTTGCTCGATACACAATGCAGTTAGAATATTTATTAATCAAAAGTAATACATATAGTTATTGTCAGTAGCTATAAAGGGTTAGTGGTAGTGGTAGTGGTGGTTATTTTACCTGACAGCTAAGAAAGCAATAAATGCTTGTTAGTTAGCAACCAGAAGACCGACGGCTTAAAGTCCTCTCCGAGGATTAATGCCTTACCAAAGGGCACTAGCGCATCGACTTTAAACTTAAAATAAGGAGAATATATGGTGTTAGTAGCTGTGTCGGTAACTATGAAGAGTTAGTTGTTGACTTCATTATATTGTAGTGTCAATGGTGTAGGAACCCCCATATAATGTATCTGCAGCTAATTAATGACTTCACCGGTAATAATATTCATTGGTTTATTCATTAACTTACAGAGCAACTTGGGCAAGATATCGTGGATAACTTGCATAGAGACAGAGAAAAAATTGACAGATCAAGAAATAGAGTGAGTACTTACATGTTGTAATTCAGATTATTATTCTTTTGTATTGTTCAATAATGCTAAAAAACACAAGAATTCAAAATAATTGAATGCATCTACTGTTAAATACTCTGTAACACAAAACTCTGTAATAAAAAGAGGGTACCGTAATGAAATTTAATCTAATGGACATTTGTTCTTAAATGAATATAGTGCTATAAGATTTTTTGTGATAACTCGACTATTTGATACAAAATAATTCAGAAAGAAATAAACAGATTATAGTTCATATTTTCATAAGTTTAATACATTCTGCAGAACTATTGAAACAAGGGTACTGGCTAGCTAAAAAAAGGTTACATTAAATGAAAAATTATAAAAAAATAAGTTATTTTATGTATGTTTGACTCATCAACACATACATATACATACATGAAACCAGCATGACTTATGGAAGAGAGTAACACAGCATAATAAAACAAAAAATCAATGTTTTTTATTCTCTCTAACCAGTTACGGGACATGGACTCCAACGTCGGCCAAAGCTCACGAGTACTCAGTGCAATGATGCGTAGGTATGGTGAATGTCGCCCCCTATATACTCAATTTATTCCATCTTGCTACTCTGTGAATACTTTTATTTCGTTTTTATATACATGTATGCTTCCCACCTGCATGTTTCAATCCACCTGACCTCTATAGTGCAATCATGGGTTATGGCAGCAAAACCGTGAGTCATAGCAAGAAAAAATGTGTAGAATGACTGATTATGAATGTAATATTTGTTTATTTCTTTTCTTTTCTTTTTTCATTTCATTTATATTCACTTTTGTTGAAACAGGGTTCCCTCTTCAATTTAAGTACCTGCTGTCTAAACTAACAGCAAACTAAATGCAAATAAAAAACAATAACAAACAATGTGAGGAAGATATTCAACATTAAAATATATAAAATACTTTAATATAATTTGAAGCAGAAATTAAAGATATTACAAAACAAATTGAAACAGATTCATCCTGATATCATGCACGAATTAATCTTTGTTACATGTACTTCTACATCATCTGTAGACATGCATCCATTATCAATGGTCCATATTTCAATATATTTCCCTGTCTCACTTCTGGAGCTTTTGCTTCACTGAGAAAAGTAAAATTAATGAATTCTCAGTCAAATTATCTCCTACATGTAGGTGCCTGAAAGTTGGCCAATATTTATGAATTTGTATAAGACTACTATATTGGAGTGAACATATTGTCAGATAAGTAAAGTCAGATAATAAATTTGTATGGTCAAACCTTAGCAGCCACCTTTCTAGAAAGGCCATCTGTCTACAGTGGCCACTTTTTCTGTTTCCCTTGAATGGCCTTTATAGACAGGTTTGACTGTAAGACCAACAGTTTACTCCCGTCCGTCCTGATGTAGTTTTTGTTCAATCTATCAGATATGGCAATGGAATGCTTTTATCCTGCTTTGTAATTGCATTTGTGCTATCACACCATCATTATTTATTTGAATGGTAAATTTGTTTTGTAAAGAAGGCCTTGCAAAAATCACCCTATAATGGCTTCTACAGATGCAGGGAACTAACTTATAATTGTCTTGAATTATTTATGACCTTAAACATGCATTCCCATTCTCTCAGGTGGTTGAGTTGTAAATTAGATCAGAACATTTTGCTTACATTTTAACCTGCTGTAGCAGCTACCTGTATAGAAAGACCTGGGCTCTGTTTAATAAGACTTGTTATAACAAAAAAATAGCAAAATTTCTATGACAAACCAGCTCTCAGCCAGCAAAAATGCCAGGTTTCAATAGTTTTCAACAGTTATCGTAACGTGTTATTGATAAGTTTTATGAAACAGGGCCAAATTGTCTATAAAGACAAGTTTATTGTTTCCCTTGAATAGTGTTCTCTTCGAAATCCATATCATAGCAACCTGTCTATAAAGACCACCTCCCTTTAAACATTACTTTTAATGTCACCCTAGAGCGGTCTTTATAACAGTTTACTTTATTACAGTACAGTCAAACCTTACTTAGTTGACACCTCTATATAAAGGCCACCTGTCTAAAGTGGCTAAGTATTTTGTCTCTATTGAGAAAGAATGTGTCTTTTAGAACCTGTTTAGAAAGGCCACCTGACTACAGTTATCACCTTTTTCTGTCCCCTTGAGTGGCCTTTATAGACAGGTCAAACTGTACCATTCTAGTTCATTCAATTTTGCCCTAACTTAATTCAATTCACTTCAATTCGCATTTATTTCATCTCGATTAAAACTTACATTGATACAAAATAATTCATGAACAAATTTAGAAAATGAAATGGGGAACTACATATAATAAAGTCCTTAAGCCTTGTACAAGCGTAGTTCCCAAGCATTCATAGCATAATGTACAGGAAAGATTACAACAACAAACAAACATTAATATTAATATGAAACTTAGATGAGAAATTATTTTTCTATCCCTCATAGGATCCTTCAAAATCGACTAATCATGCTGTTCCTAGGCCTGATCATCTTAAGCGTCATTATCCTGGCAATCTACTTCATCGCAAAGAAATGATAACGGCTTTTCCTAGGTTACCCTGCTCATTCCTGCCTTTGAGAAGCAAACGGAGACCTACAAGGAACGTCGAGGGGGGTAGACGTGGCGGCCAAGGTTTGCATTCCAATCCACCCCTAGGTAGCCAGTTGGTAGTATTGTGCATTAAACTGTTTTAGAATCAGAACTCTTGAGTGCTAAGTGCTTAACAGCGTTTGCATTACGAGATAACAAAAGGCTCCGCACTTCAGCTGCTCATTATACGACACAGCCAGAAACTGAGATCTAGACTCTGCTTGAGGCTTTAGGAATTGGAGTCAAGTGCCAAATCAAAGTCTGTGTTTGCAGACTAGGTTTGGGGTTAGGGTTGCACTTGGTAAGAGAGGTTTAGGTTTAGGGTTAGGTTTTGTGTTTGGTCCAGGGTTGAAGTTGATAATTTAGTTAGTCTAGGATATCTAGTTATTGACCATAGAGTACTGCAACTGTCGTACAACCCAAAATATATGTGAAATGGTAATTACTGGAAATGTTCATGTTTTGTGTCCGTCTAGGTGGGATGTGTAAATACAGAAGGGTATGAGAATATTTATTTGACAGCATTATAAAGGTTAAAGGCCAATTAAATCTATGTAATAACTTCATTGGTATGGAAGCAGAAAAGTAAGAGAAACAGAAAGGCGAAAGTTTGAAATATATCAAGCCAATAATAAGGGATTTATGAATGTTTGAAAAATGAGATCATTAAATCCATGCCAATCTAAAATTAGCAATATGGTCAGTGGATTGTTACGTAGACATTGGATAGCTCTCCCATTTGTTCTGTACAAAAAAAAATTATCATTAATTTCTCTTTTTCTTTTAAGTACCTTCTCCCTTTGGGCACTACTCAAAAACATTTATGGGTAGCACATTATTATAGGTCCTCTCAAAAACAAAAAGGCCATCCAGTTCCTGAATAAATTTTGATTGTTTACGTGTGTTGAAATAAATGGGAAAGTAGTCTGGCACTTTATTACAGTGACATAACTGAAGTGCTCATACGTGTAGTGATTACAACTTTCGAAAAATTCATAACTTTCTTATCTTTTGTCAGATTTAATTCAAACTTTCACCAGTCTGTTTCTTTGACCTTTTTTGCTTTTTTGTTAGAGTAAATGTCTGTTAAGGTTGGATTTCCATAAAACAGTTAGTTCAACTTTGATATAAATGTCTTCTTTAAAAAAAATGGAAAATTAAAAAAAAAAAGGATGTATAGCAGGAGGTTTAAAGAACAAATTATACTATAACACCTTTTCACTAGGAAAACACTCACAAATTGCCAAAACTCAATCTCTGTAATTGATGTAATGAAATTTCTGCGAGGCAGAAATAAGCAAGAGCTATTAAATTGAATATGTGAATACCTTTGTTGTATGCAGTTGCATTCATTTTCATCAAAAAAACACAGCTGCGTTGTTTTATTTTGCGGCAGTTTACTGTATCGACCCTTAGTCGCATTTGAGAAGATGAATGTTTACATATGTACAGATATTTATTATGGCTACCAGCCATGTAATGAAACGTCCTTTCTTCTGTCTTAGACATATATTGTATCATCTGTTGAGAGCCAGAAGGGAGTTAACTGTCTCTAAAGGTACATGACTTGACACCCTATAATAAGCTTTGAGTGGATGTTATGTATATAGCCAATGTTATTGTGCTAAGTCTGTAGGTCATCTGCAATCTTGCATGTATACGTTTTGTTTATTTTTATCGAGTTTTTGTTTGACACAGCAATGACTGAATGTGTAATGCAATAGCCAAGTTTGTAAAGTAATGTGCATAGTATGAATGCTTGTATTGAATCCTTATGGATCTGTTGGAATAACTATTATTTTCACCAGGAAGAAAGGTCCTGTTTAGCATTTCTCACTAAAATGCAATTATTATTGAGTCACAGTGTTAGCCTAGAATATTGTTTTTACTTTCACTGAATCTTTTGTTTGCCCTCAAATTTTCGAAACAGTATATCCAGTTCATGTTATATGCTTGCTAAATGCATTGGTCATTGTATATTCATGTTATAATTAATTTGGCATGAGGCGTAACATTATGAAGAAACAATAGATTGTTTATTCCTCAAGGATGTAATATTAGTTGTACTCAATACAGTTTTCAAAGGCATTAAAACTTGTATATCAATGAGGAGAGTTAAATCTACAATGCACTGGGCTTAAGAATTTAGATTTTTGTTCTGCAAGATGCAAAACTTTGCAATCTGCAGAATATAGTATTATAGGCCCACTGTATTCGTCCTCCGGCACTTCTTTTCTAGTCTTCACATTTGTCCTTTCCTTATCTTCTTTGATGAAAAAAAAAAGAAATCTAAGTTTAATCCACAAATACCCCCACATGTAACATTTTTCTTAGATAAGTGATTTTATTATTGTATATAGTTTGTATGTA